GATATAGAAACAGATATTGTTTGTCTTATTTGTCGATAACAATAATATAGAAAATGCTAACTTTTTACCTCTTATTTTTCTATATTACTGATATGACAAATCTTAAGTTTTATTTCTTATATTTCTATATTGGATATATAGAAAATCCTATTTTTTATTTTTCTGTATTGGTTATATAGAAAATCTTAATTTTTATTTCTTATTCTTCTATATTGATGACATAGAAACAGTTAGTTTTGTGTCTTATTTGTCTTTAGTAATAGTATAAAAATGCTGATTTTTACATCTTATTATTCTACATTGGTGATATGAGAATCTTATTTTTTTTTATTTTTCTACATTGGTAACAAAGATAACTATTTGTTTTATTTCTCATTTTTGCATATTGCTGATATAGAAAATATTTTTTATTTTTCAATTTTTCTATATTAATAGTATAGAAAATCTTAATTTCTATTTCTTATTTTTCTATATTGATGATATAGAAACAGTTAGTTTTGTGTCTTATTCGTCTATAATAATAATAATATAAAAAATGCTAATTTTTCTTTCTTATTTTTCTATATTAGTAGTACAAAAAGTCGCATTTTTTTTCTTACTTTTCCATATTAATAATACGGAAGATCATATTCTTTAGTTTTTTTGTTTTTTCTATATTGGTAATGTAGAAAATCTTAACTTTTATTTTTTATTTCTCTTTGTTAACGGTATAGAGAGTAAAATTTTTTATGCGTGAGTTTTTGTGACTATTATGCTATGAATTTTATTATGTAATGATAACTGCCGATGTAGGCACCTATGCATCGGGTTCAGTAAGTAAAAAGATCTGGGCTATGTGAAGTTAAGTTGAACTATAGCTGCCAGGGAAGGTGAAACATGACGAGAATGTATGTTTTTAAAGAAATCAGTTAAAACCTTACTGTACGATTTTTTTATAATCATACAATATTTTAGTGTTGGAGCATCTAAGAAACTTGCTAGAAGAATTGACATCAGATTTCTGAGACGACAATTTTTCATATGATTTTTTGTATCATCTTTGTATGAACATATACGACTTTTGAGTAACATCGAATAGGATCATACAAGAATTCATAACTGATCTTACTATGTGATTTTTCGACCTGGGTATGGTCGACACATGTAACTCAACTTACGACTAACTTACGACCATATACAGTCGTATACTACACTCGTGCACGGCAGTCGTTTATTTCAACGTATACGTTGATTGTATTTGAACGTATGGCACCGTATACGTTCATCGTATACGATCGTCGTGTACGATGCCCGTTTCTAGACGTATTTCGTCGTATACGACCGTTTACGATAGTGCTTTTTTGATATGTATACATATCAAAAAATTTTAGAAATATTGGAAATTTGAACCATACTAGTCTGTGGAGTATTTGGAAAGTGTCTATAGGTGTCGTCAAAGTGTTCCTTGATCTCTATCAGGGGCTATGTCCACCAAAAGAAATTTTATTCCAGTTGAAAACAGAAATAGCAAGCTCAGAATGGTTATCCACAGTTTTTACAAGTATCTCAATTCTTACGTTCATTTGCAATTTATTGTTACAGAAACTTTTGTTTTATTTTCATCATTCGAATACTTTTCTTCTTTCGAATAGATGAACATTTTTGAGATTGAACTCTATGAATAAATATTTTTTTTTTTGAGTTGATTACTTGAGATATGTTCATTTCTATATTTTATTTAAACAAATACGAGAATACAATATAATAGTAAATAATGTTATACAATTTTTTTTTTTAATATACGACAAATCAAATTAAGAGTTTAACATAAATTGTGCCATTGGATCATCATGACGATGTTTTTTCAATCGATATGCTTCTAATTCTTCTTCAGTTGGTTCTTTATGTTCATTAATATCTGATTTTAATGAATTATATTTACGTTTTCGTTCATCAACATTGACTATGTCTTCAGCTTGTCGATCACGTTCTTCAATTTTTCTTGCTGCTTCTTGTACTTTTTTTTTATCTAATTTTTTTGTTATAGAATTTTGATCATCATCTGTTGATGAAGATTTTGGTTGAAGTTTTTTTTTATTTAATTTTTCACGATGTAATTCAACTAATGATTTTGGTTTATCTTCATTAATATCATCAGATTTTTCATCTATTTGAAATTCAATTTCTTTATCTTCAATAATTGTACCTGTACAATAAGATTGTCGTAATAATGAATGACAACATGCATAACCCCATCGATGATTTTTCCAATAAGAACCCCATACAGATGTATGTTCATTTTCATAAACATCTTCAACATATTTTGATTTAATTGTTGCACGTTGATCACCTTTAATAACTTTTCCAAAACGATTATATTCAACATATTGTTCAGTTTGTGCTTCAACAACAAGTTCACGTGGTATACTATTTAAATATTCTTCACCACCATAACGTTCAATTAATTGTTTTTCAACTGTTTTAATAAATTGATTTTTTTTCTCATGAAATTCTTTATTTAATAATTCAAGTTTAGTTGGATCAGCTTGTGTATGTATATTAACACCTTTGTCTGATGCTTCCCATGCAAATATTTGACTTTTAGCAAAATCTTTTGCTTCACCTGAATAACGTACAAAATTATCACCTAAATATGGTACTTGTGATGGATCTTTATTTGTTCCAGTAAATGGATTATCACGCATTGAACGTGATTTTGGATCATAATAAGCTGATTCAGCATCCAAATTAAGTAAATATTTAGCTGTATCTTCACGTATACGTAAATTACGTACACTAATGCGTTGTTTTGAATCAACATGTTGACCAGGCATATCCATTGAATCTGTATATTTATATTCTTCATCTTCTTCATCATCATCAGAATCAATTTTAGTTTTTTTTGTTGATTTATTTTTATCATCATGTTCAATTGGTTTAGCTGCTACAGTAACAAGAGGATCTGTACTTTCATTAGGTGTTGTTTCATTTATAGCTTGTTCTTCAGCCATAGCTTCTTCATCTAATTTTTTAGCTTTTAAAATTTTTTTTGCTTCAGCTAAACGTTGATGTTCATCATGAATTTTTTGTTGATGCCAATTAATATCAACACCATTCCAACGGTCACGTTTTCCATCCCATGATAAATTTATATCTGGTTGTATATATTCATCAGGTGCAAAATCTGTACCTGTAAAACGTGCACCAAGACGACGTGGACGTTCAACACAATCTTTACGTTTATGTGTCATGGCACCACAATTTTCACAAGCACCTGGACGATAACGTGTTGCTATTTTATCAGCATGACCACGAGCATACCTAAGAACATTAAGTAAATATATATATATGTTGTAGGCAAAATTGAAATTCAGGCAAATTTTAAATTTGCCTAGGCAAAATTGAAATTTTAATTTTGCCCAGTCAAAATTAACATACAGCTAGGAATAAATTCATACAATCACGTTCTTTATCAAAAATAAAAGAGACTAATATGGGTGAACAGACTAAAAGATTTTGTTGAACTGTATTCTCTTGGAATTGTTTAATTAAATGAAGAAATATTTTTCAATAATAAAGTTTTTCTATTCAGATTTTTATTTTTTCATTGTATGAATTTATTCCTAGCTATATTTTAATTTTGCCTAGGCAAAATTAAAGTTTCAATTCTGCCCAAGCAATGTCTAGTCAAAATTGAAATTTTAATTTTGACTGGGCAAAATTAAAATTTCAATTTTGTCTAGGCAAATTTAAAATTTACCTGTATTTCAATTTTGCCTACAACATATATATAATATTTCATGTTTTTTAGAGTAAAACAAAAAAATAAAGGAAAAATCTGTTAAGAAGTAATAAATCTATATGTTATCATCTTTTTGTGTGTTCTTTTCTATATTCTAATACTTTGAACTATCATCTGAATTTCGATTTTCAATTTATGATAGAATATGCCGATTTTTTGCCTTTTCTTTTAAATGTAATAGTTTTTTCAATGAATTTCCAGTATCTGAAGTAAGAAATCTTCCAATAGATAAATCGTTTTTTTAGTCGAAACTATGTACATTATATAGAACCGAGCGAACTACAAATATTCTGAATATAATCTAAGTTATGAGCTTATTGCCGTCAAAATATTGAACATACGGAATTTTTCAAATGAAATGTCATAGTTCCATTTTAAAATTTTGACTCGAAACTCTATATACAGAACATAGTTTTGCAATAAAAAAGCATTCTGATTTGCCATTAAAATTCTTCGGCCTACAGAGTGCGTTTCTTAAAAAGTTAACATCCTTTACAAGGATATTCCTATTTTATTTTAGTTCTAGTCTAGAGCAAACTATTTCAGACTTTATTCATATTCATCTAAAACAATTCTTCAATACTCGTTGTATGACTTAGTCGACAACTAGTCCTTTTTTTTGGAGTTATGTTCTGATTAATATTTCGTTCCGACTGAGGCAAGTTTTATTCTCGTAATTCATTTCTATCAATACTATTGATTGATATGAAAATTTTCTCTTGTTATTTAAACAATTTCAAATGAAGTATTATAAATACTTACCATTCATTAAGAGTATCATATTCTTTTGATTTTTCTGGATGTATACGTTGATGTTTAAGTGTTGGTTTTGCATGATCATATGTAACATACCAAGGCACATCAGTCATATATTTTGGTATATGAGGATTAATATCTTTTCCTTCTTCATCAACTTCAGCTGGTGCTGAACCAGCTTTTCGTAATTCTTCAAGTTCTTTTTGTTGTCGATATTCTTCTCTTGTTTGTTTTTTTGGTGCTTCACCATCTTTTTGTCTTGCAAGTATTGATGGTGGAGTTGTAAAATGTTGTTGTGACATATCTGAAAACAGAAAAAAAAAAGATACTATAAAATGAAAGAAATTTTTTTTTTTTTTATTCTTTTGTTTTATAATGTTTGCAACTAAATATCTATTCAAGAAAATTTTGATTTTCAAGAGATAAAAACAAAAGAGAAAACAAGAGAGATTCAAAATTCATATTAAATAAGTATTGCTGGATTTCGAAAATTTCGAAATTTTAATGTCATATAAATAATAATTATTTGTGTTAATGTAAATATGAGCATAATTGAGCCAATAATTTGTAAATTTTTATCAAGTTCATTATTTAATGATATGTAACACATAGATAATGTTTCACAACATTGACTTGATATATGACAACAAGGTAAATTTTGACATGTTACATCACGATTAAAGCTTGTTAAATTATCAAATCCACAACAATTATATTTTAATTGTATATGATCAGTTGATTTTTTATAACTTTCTTTTAATAAATCATATTTTTTTTCACCACGTATTGTTAAATAAGTACATGCAAGAATAAATTGAAATAGAAATAATATAACTAAAAGAATAATATAAAAAAATAATAATACTTGATGATGTTTTGCAACAGCAATTATACCAAATATGGATAAAAATATTAAAAATAAACTCAATATAAGTAACCCAACAAATAAATGAAGATCTATTATTAAAGAATTAACTCGTGTAAATATGGCAAAAAATAAAAATGTTAATGCCAATAGTATATAAAAGATATTAGAAATAATGAGTAAACGACGCCATAATTGAAAAGTTTTTTCTTCAACCATCTAAAATCAAACACAAAAAAAAAAATATTAATTCAAATTTATTCAAAGACAAACATTTAAAATTTAATCAATATAAACTATCTGAACAAAACAAACGAGAATTTTTTTTTCTGTGCTAACAAGTAATGACTTCATAAGAAATGGGAAATGGTGTAACAGAAGACGATTCAAGAAATATCTGAAATATTTAAAAAAAAAATAATAATAAACATATTAAATAATTCATAAATAATATTTTCTTTTTTTTTCACCTGATCAGATACAGATCGTAATTGAATATGTAAACGACGTAAACATTTCAATTGTTCTTGACATTGACATATAACAAAATGAATACAATCATATAAATGATTATTATTTTTAAATTTTATTGATGAATTATAAGTTTGAATTAATCTAATATGTTGTAAAAATGGAGATATTTTAAATAATAATGTAAATAATTCTAATGGATGATCAGTTGATATACAAAGTGATCGTAATGAATATAAATAAAATTGACTATATAATTCAAATGCTGTTGCTTCAAATGTTGATTCAGAAAGGTCCTTTACCAAAAAAAAACAAAAACTGATATAGTATATAAAATATTTTTCAATATTCAATTAAAACTGTTTGATATTCTCATCATATCGAACAGTTTCGAAAAACGGGGTTATTTTGATTATTTTTATTTCTAGAAAAAAATCGTAATATTTAAATAATTAGAATGTCACTCGCGTAAAGATCGAATAGAAAAGGCGACTGACTACAATAGCAAATGTTCGAACGCGATCTACGATTTCAATCGCGTTTAACTATCTTGACTTAACTGACAAGTTAGAAGAAAATGAGTACAATTGTCTTTGATTCAATAGCTTCCAAGATTTATTTATTTTGTTTTTCATATTCATCAGAATCCTTCTATAAATATCAAACTTCATCATTATGAATCTCACTTAGATAGATAAAAGTCGAGAAAAAAAATGATTATTCGAGACCTTTCATCTGCTCATCATTGAATATCTTGAGAAGGATCAAAATCATTCGATTGTAAATCTCTGATTTTTGATAAATAATAGAAACCAATCATGTTCTTGTATGCATACTTGAAAATCATCATCAAAAAAAGTAGACGTCATTTTAACACATAGATTTCAAAATCAGCATTTTGAATAATTTGTCTAAGATCAAATTTTTAGTCAAATAATCATAATTTCAACAGATTAAAATTTAGTATCTCATTGAGTCTTACTCTGATGCACAAACTATAAATTTAATAAACATTCAATAACTGTAGATGTTTCTTTGTTAATTAAAATTTTCTTCTTATTTTATCGATAACATACCAATTCTCGTATATCAATATTTTGAAAATAATTCAATGCTCGATCAACATATCGACAAAGTTTTGATAATTTAACATGATTCCACTTTAAATAAAGAAGTTCAATAAATTTATTTTATAATAAATAATTAATTCTTACCGCAATTGAACTATCAACAAAATTTTTCCATTTATGTGAAACTTGTCGACATCTAGAATTATTCAAAAAATAAAAAATTATATATTTTTTTTTTATTAAAATTAATCTTCTTTTACTTTAATCTTGTTGATATATCAGTATATTTAATTATTCGTTGAATAATATGATCATATTTATTTGAATTAAATAAATCTATATTATCATTTGCATTAAGTTTTTTAATAAATAAATCAATATCATCTTTTGACATTCCAATATTTTTAAGTAATTCTAAATCTTCATATACATAATATGGAAGTATTTTAAATTTTTTAATATTATCATTTTGATCATTATCATTAATTAATGTTCGTTTACGTATATAGACAATTGATGTATCAGCAAATATAATCGTATCATAAAATGATGAATTAACATGAATTGTTATTTTTGCATCTTTAATTGATAATAAATTGTAACCAAAAATTTTTCGAACAATAATTGATGATAATTCTAAGAAAGAAAATTAATTGAAAAAAAAAAAAAATAATATTTTTTGTTCTGTTTTTTTTTGCATATTTAATTATCTTACTTAAATCTAATTGATGATTATTTGAATGTTGAATTAGATTTTGATGAAATAATAAATAACGATTATTAAATTCTATTGTTACGAATTCATTCGTATCAATACAATGTTGAACTAATTCATATTGATTATTTGACATTATGAGTCGTCTACATTAAAAACATTAGCTTATTTCAATCTAAAATAATTGTTTATTTTCTATTAGGTCTTATCATGATTATTTCAAAAAAAGTGCATACTTGCACAAGACACTTCTATGTCATTAGAAAACGACCAACCAACAAACATTTTTCTGTACTGGTGTGTCAACAAATTTTTTTTTTATTGGTTTATTTAATAAACTAATCAAATAATAAAATTATTTTAAGCGTCATCTATAGTAGACATTGAAAGGGCATCAATTGATAGTTTTTAGAAGATACAATATATTCAATATGGGCGCGAAGTGATAATGAAATAAAATACAATATATTAAAGAGAATTGAAATTTTGTAAGAGTAATGATTATATTCACTAATCGAATGAATATTACGTGAAACAAAAAATCAATATAAAATATAAATTCAATCGTAATTACTTCTTATGCTTTGATTTTACAAATTTTTATGTATGATAGTTGGTCAAATACTTTTTGGTGTTTCTTTGTAATCATATATTTTGTTAGTTATTCATTCGTTCATTATTAAACAAGTTCATAACGAAAAGATTGACATTCATTCACTTTTTACTTAAACGAACAAAATATGATTTATTTTACTGCAGTTGAAAGTTCGTATACAATTGACATTAGAAAAATGAAATGTATACATCTAATTGTACAATGCAAGTAATAGAGAGCCATCTTTTTATCTCTGAAACTATTATATATCAGTGTCAGAGTCGGATCAAATCTGGTCACAAAAACTTGAACTATGTCGGACACTATGAGATGTAGAAAGCACTATTCAGTAGGTTATGTTGCGTTGATAAAAGAATAACAAGACGTTTTCTGAGGAAAATGTAAAATACAACTAAATCTTAAATAAAATCATATTTTAATCATAGCATTTCCTTTTCTGATCGTTCACATCTATATATGACAACCTATAAGTCCTGTTTTACACTTATACATGGTTCAATAGAGATCGTCGAACTGATTAAGAATATGTATTTTATTTTATTTTTTGTTTTTGAAAGCCTTTTCATAAAAAGCAAAACAAGTTTTTTCTATAGTCTTGAGTAATTCATTGTTTCTGAAAGTACGCTTTGTATAAAAATTAGATAGCTTTGCAAAACATTTCACCAACTTGTTGAAATGTCATTTAACGCTTCCCAGGGCAACAAATCAGACGCTAAGATCAGAGTCAGATTCTTGTACGTTTGTATCCGATCTTACATCATTATCTTGTATGATCATACAAGATCATACGAAAAATCGTAGTCTCTGATTTCTTATATCAAGAATTACAATAAATTTCCAGTATGATGCATAAGTACGATCTTCTACGATCAGTTGAAATCATTTCGCAAGTCTTCAGTTGATTTATTCAAAATTATACATCCTAGATTACCTTTGCGTTTTCATATATCAATGATGAATTTAATTAGCCTCATGTATGGAAGAAAAGTTTATTTTTCAAGCTAAATAGCGCATGCAAAATCGTGTGTTCCACCATCACAAGCTCCAACAGCATTAGCTATTGTATGACAACGACAAATATCACACATCATTTGACTCAACGTTCTTCGCAAACAAATTCGAAAAAAATCATCGAAACGGTCAGGATCAATTTTGAAACGAGCACCGACAGACTCTGAAAGGTGAACAAACCGTATATAGACAATTTCATTAAAGATATCGAGCCCTGGCTGATTGACTGGACTCCTCACTAAAACTACTTGCGGACATCAGACTCACAACCCAAAAATACCTTATCCCATTTTAATCGATTCCTCAAAACACTACATTAAACTACCGAAAACATAGGACGATAACAGTAAACCCGGAAAAGTACCCCAATGATTACATCCTACATTCTCAACGCGACGACAGAGCACTAACTATGTCACGGGGTATATGTGGATAACAAAAGTGTTTTCCCTAAAGAGAGATAAGCACTATACATGAAAACTATAAAACTATATCTAGAACAAACTCCAAAACAACACCACTCACAAACGAAATGACACAAACGCAAAGAACAATTAACTATATGTTTATACATATACTTCAAACAAAACTCATTGTCAAAAACAAAAAAAGAAAAATACAGAATACCTATATGTCAAACATATAGTTCGAAGAGAGACGATTTTCAAAACGAAAAACAAATAATACGATACCCCTATATGAAAACATATAGTGTACAAAAACGAATACAATAAAAAAAAAACACTAACTATATGTTGAAACATATAGTTGGTAACCAGAAACGATTTTCAGAAAAAAAGAAACAAATAAAATAGCATTGTACCACTGTATGGAAACATATATTGTAAACAAAACGAAAATAAAAAAACTTACTATACATTGACACATATAGTTGTAAGAGAAATTATTCTCGAAAACGAGAAAACAAATAAAATAGTACTACATCACTATATGGAAACATATAGTGAACAAAAACAAATAAAATAAAAAACAATTAACTATATGCTAATATATATAGTTGAAAGAGAAACCATTTTTTAAAATGAGAAAACAGACTAAATAATATTATACCACTATATGAAAACATATAGTAGACATAGAACAAATAAAATACAAAAAAAAAATAACTATGTATCAAAACATATAGTTGGAAACCAGAAACAATTTTCGGAAAAAAATAAAGAAATAAAATAAAAAAATTTACTATATATTGACACATATAGGTCAAAAAAAACCAAATTTTTAAGAAAGAGAGAAACGATAAAATAATATTACATCACTATATGAAAACATATAGTAGGCAAAAACAAATTAAAAAAAGTAACTATACATCGATATATATAGTTGAAAGAGAAATTATTCTCGAAAACGAGAAAACAAATAAAATACTACTACATTATTATATGAAAATCTACAGTGAATAAAAAGAAAGAAAAAAAATTGAACTATATATCGAAACATATAGTTGCAAAAGAGAAACAATTATCTAAAAAGAAACAAAATAACATTGTGCCACTATATGGAAACATATAGCAAACAAAAACGTATAAAATAAAAAATTAACTATACATCGATACATATAGTTGAAAGAGAAATGATTCTCCAAAACAAGAAAACAAATAAAATAGTACTACTTCACTATTTGGAAACATATAGTGAACAAAAAGAAATAAAATAAAAAAAAATTAACTATACATCGACACATATAGTTGAA